CTTTTTCAATAAGCTTCAGCGCCTTGAAGACATAAGGTTAGTACACTACTATTAATGATATAGTTAGTACATATAGATTAATAAATATGCAATAAAAAATGAATTATAGGAGTCAGCGCGAGAAATAGTACGCAAATTAACAAATCATGTCGATTTTTAATTAATAAATAAAATATAAGTCGAACATTTCGGCTTTAGACTTCAACCATCTTTAACATAATTTACAGTCAAAAATTTTAAAAATTACAAAGGATCAAAATAGGGCCGCATTTGCGTCACCAGTCAGATTTACAACTAATACATATATGTACATGTTTGTATTTAAAAGGTTTGTTCAGGTTGCTCAGTAACACTCAGGTGCTCATTATCCCACTGGACAAAGTTGGCTGGCTTTACTCGCGCCTTGCAACGTTCAACATGATCACGTCACATGATCGATTTTAATTTTGATTCTGATGAAACCAAGGATAGAAGCGTCACGTTACATTCGTGAATACGTTCAAGATGGGAGATAGGCTCCCCTGATAGAAGTTGAAAAAGGCATTATGTCCTAATAGGAAATCACAGAAAAAGATGAAGATAGACGAGAAACTAGGAACGATGTAATTATATTGTGACTTTAAGTGATCAGTTCATTATATTTTTTTATGTATAATCTTGCCTCATTGAAGATATTCTGATGTGATCATTAAGAAAATTGTACGAGTTGAATATGATGTACGTTGAGCAAGTAAAAATTATATTCATGAATGGAACATTTAGTTTTACCTAGTTACTGTTAATTTACTGCGAGTAATAAACTAAAATTTCATTAAAAAATATCATAAATGACATCATGTCATAAATGACTTATCGCGCACGAATCCTTTTGTAAGAGCACAATATACATATATAACGTGATCCTACACTTTTTTTTACTTCGTTCTATTTCCGAACGTCGCTTCCGAAATCGAATCTATCAATGTTGAAGAATTGTAACATAGGTAAAAACATTTGTTCATATATTTTATTTATATATATATAATACTCTAAAAAAAAATATATATATATATATATACATCTATTACAATTCATAACTTTTATCACAAGTAATTGGTAATATTGTTTTTGAAGATGATGAAATTATAAAAATAACAAAAAATTTCTGCGGCATTCATGTAATATTTCAGGATGTATACCAATTTTTATTTGCAAATTAGACGTAAAAATTTCCTACATTTATTTTACATGAATTTTCCGAACATTAAATCTTGTTCGGAAGTACTTTAATTCGTAGTACTTTAAAGATAAATAAGAATAGAAATTTAATTTGACGCAAAGATGTCAATTAAATCGCGCTAAATGAATGCCCATGAGTAATGTAGGACAAAATAAACCCATTGGGCAACCTTAGATTTAGTTCACTAAAGCATCGCTTTTACAGCAACATACGTATTGTGTAATCTTCGATCGTAAATATCCGGATTATACATATTTGTTTAAAACAATTCATATTTATGTTCTAACTGAATTCATATACTTCAGCAGCGAAAAGAAATTTGCTGCTAAAGTAATGTATTCAATTTGATAAACAAAAATATCGCGAGTCCTTAATTTCACGAATGGTATCTCATCTTTTTCGTAGATAAATTGACAATACGCTTCGCCCGTTATTGTTACAACGGAGATAGCATTTGAAATTATAAACGTCCAAGCGCAAGAATTTCTTACTGTGTGTTATCTGCATGTTAGAAGATTTTAGACAAATTTCGAGCTACATATGTTACTTTGTACTGCGTTAGTATTACATCTGTTGAATGTATAATGGATTAAATTATAAATAGAGGTATGCTAGGTTGCTTACTATGTATTCTAATTAAATAAAAATAAACATGATACATATTGAAATGAAATACCATCCATTCAATGGCACTATAGTCCAAACCGGGCCTCCTCTAGATGAGGTTTCGAAATAATGATTTTTCCGGAATTAGATTGTTAGTCTAATGTCAGACTCCTAATGTGGGAGAATGATGCATATATTTACTATATATAGAACCTACAGTTTAAACGCCGGATCCAAACGGCGCTGGCGATCACAGGTATCTTAATCACCAAGTGGTGCCATTTTCAGTTCCTTAAATACAAAAAGTCGCATATGTGGGCGCAGGTGGGATTGAACTCGGATCTACAGATCGGAATCAATCGTAGTAAATCGCATCGAGCAGCAAGCCACTCGACGTTTTTTAAAACAAAACACTTGCTCGTATATGACGGATTTTGAAAAACTGGTTCTTTTAATCAGCCTGTATAGAATCAGACTAGAAATTAAGATTAGATTGGAATTTAACCAATTAAAATTCATTACATTTGAAATTGATTTTCTTCTGATTGGTTAAATTTCAATTCAATCTCAATATCTAATCTCGTCAAAGGTATTTTGTGATAGAAATGATGTTCTATGATGTTCTCTAGTACACATGAGTGTACTCACATAGTATATATTATATTACAATATTATCTACAAGAGTTGTTACATTAATATAACACCATTGCAGGTATATATATTTTACAAACACTTAGTGGTTATCGATCTTCTTTTTTTCTTCAGGATAGGTTTCGAAGTACCACTTTATGTATTCGTCCTTCATTTGTTCACGACGCGCAAAGTATTTGGGATACATAGCTTTCTCTAGAGGATGCCAATAATCCAAGGACCAGTCTGGAGTATAAGCCTCTCGACCATACGCCCCTCCTGTGATCGATTCAGCGAACGTTATTGGTTGATAATGTATCTTGGAGAAGTACTCCTTCTCTCCTTCCTTCAATAGATACTTTGCGTATTTCAAATCCTTTATATTCTTATTCTTGTCAAAACGCTCTCTCAATAAAGCAATCTGGTATCTGTAAAAAAATTATAATTGAAATATAATTATGGTAGGTAAACGTCCCAGTAACCGAACACATACCTATACACACAATTTAGTATTATTAATCTCAAATGTTTTTTATTTCAATATTATAATTTAATTGTATTTAAAGATTATTATTAAATTATAATATTACATTTAAAAAAGCATTTGTCCCCCCCCCCCCCCCCCCCTCTCTCTGAGAGTTTACCTTAATTAATTGTTATTAGCTTTATTCATTAAACGACGGATTTAAACTACTTTAAAATAAAATACCTTAATCTATTTACAAAGGACGATTATGGTTTATAATAAATAATTTAAGGCGACTGTTACCAACACCGATTAACTTAACCGACGATTAACTCAATCAGCAGAATTATTATTATACATAGGAGATTTTCATTACTTTTATTACAGTTAAGTATAGGAACACAGAGATAGAAGTATATCACGAAGAAATGAGATTAAGAACGATATGCAGTTTTGCTGTTGACTACACTGCTGATTGAGTTAATCGCTGATTAAATGAATCGGCATTAGTAACAGTCGCCCTAAATTATTTATTATAAACTATAATCGTCCTTTGTAAATAGATTAAGGTATTTTATTTTCGTGCTTTGTGCTACCTTTGTTTTTTCATCTAAAAAGTCTAATATTGGTTGTTCCATTTGAATCAATACATTAATTACTGCATCAATTCAAAGCTGTCAATGTGATTTGATCAAATTCTAATTAACTTCAGCCCGGATTCACCAATATAAGGTATCAATGGATGCTATTTCAATAGTAAATAAAACTGAGATTAAAGTTAATCTACATTGATTTTTGAACATTAATTCATCAAATAGGAAATAGGAATCTTGGCCATAACAGTCTAAGATGAACATTAATTGTTTTATACCTGTTCCACTAATGTAGATTAACTAATCTTGATTCAACTCGCTCTTTAAACTTTTCTGGTTCTTGTAAAAATTAGAAAAAGTTAGAAGAGTAAGTTGAATTGAGATCAAAATCAATAGGCCCATTTTTTTAAATTTCTTTAACTAAATTTCTTTTAACTAAATTTCTTGCACAGTTTATCTTCCCTCCTTTTTTTCTTTAATATGAAGAAAAATAGTAGGAAACGCAAGAAATTCAGGTAATTCTTTTGTCTCAATATAGATTAACTTGGATTAACTTCAATCTCTGTTTAATTTGCTCTTCATCTTTTTCCAATTCTTAGAACTAGAAAAAGAATTAAAGAATTAGTTGAAGCAAGATTAAAATTAAATTACAGGTAGAAACCGACATAAAAGGACCAATCTGACATTGAAGGAAACAGGCATTAATTTATTAAGTAATACCTGTAGCATTTAGTCGTTAATATAAATATTTAATTAATAATTAAACAATATTGAAATATCATAAGACTATGATGTCAACATACAACATTTAAAAAATAAATAATTATATTAGTCATTTATTTCGCTTTAAACAATTCCACCAGTTGAATTAAAAGATTTGTTCTTTTTAAGGGGGGAAATCCATTTAGAACGAGGAAAAATAAGCTATTTTCAAGAATTTTTTTGAAGAAGAAAGAATGTTTGTACATTTTTCAAACTTGGATATTTATTTATACATGTTTTGGACTATTCATACGTATTTTTTTTTCCAAAAATATTTCAAAATGGCAGATATATGAAGCATCCCATTTGGCACGTCCGCGTGCGAGTTGCTCAGCTGCTGGACAAATAGCGTCTGTGATATTGATCCTACAATAGACAGCAAAAAAAATTCTTATTGTTTATACTCATAATTCGTAGTTGAACCTAAAAAAATAAAAAAAGTTAAAAATTTTGAAAATGAAACACTTTTGAAAATAAATTTTCATTTTTTGACGTTTTCTCTTTATAATTTTTGCAATAAATAAATAATTTTTTATCGCGATTTTCACAAACATTTAGGTTCACCGACATTGTACTGATATCACGAAGTTGTGTGCGAAAGTTCAGCGCAATCGGTTGAATAGTTTTTAAACGAGAGTTCCAGCAGTGCAGAAAAATACAGTTTTGAGAAAAACGCGTTTAAAGTTTTGACAGTAAAATAGGCATGATATCTATAATTTACCTTTCAGTCAGCAATTCCAGCGCCATACAATAATAATCCTTCTACTTCCTCGTAGAATTCGTTCTGCTCCAATAACTGCTCTCTTCGTGCCTGTCGAGCTGCTTTAGAGCATAAAAAGTTGCGCCGTTTCTGTCGAGATAAACGGCGCTCGTCGACGTTCTCAGCGTAGTTCTTGCTCTGGCTCCCAATAATAATTTGTAACTTTGTCATAATTTGTAGAATGGAAGAATATCCTTCATTGAAGAGTCCAGCAGCGATGTAGGATGCAATTTCAACGATTTTCAGTCCAGAATTAAGATGCTTAGGAGCCAAACGCCAAATCGTAGAATTAAAACTTTCATTTGCATTCTGCGTATGACTGCCCAAGCATCTCTGAAGTAATTCTTCCTTAGATAAATCTTCATAAATTGGAAGAATGTGTTTTGCGACTGTTGGATCGAGTGGAGGAGGGTGCTCAAAAAAATCCAAATTTGCTTTTCCTTTCTGCCACTTACACCAGCTGTCTTCGCCGGGCGGGCAGTATTCGTGTTGTGGCTTCTCATCCGTAGAGATCAAATGGTAATAAGTGGCCATAATACTTTTTTTCATTCCATCAATACTATTCACATTTCTTCTAATTGCCAGACCGTAGTACGTTGTGAGTTTTTTAATTAAAATATCCATTAGTTTGCCCTTATCACCGAGTTTTTGTGTTTTTTTTATATTTCGGAGCCGAGTGCCCATTCTCTTCTCTACATGGCCAATGCACTCGCTTTTTACAACTTGAAATTCATCACCGTAAGGATTCTTATCTAGAATGGCCTTGAAAGTTTTGGAGTCTCCGTCTCCAATGTAATTACCATATTTAACGCCATACTTTTCCTCTGATCTTGAAAAGATTTCTATAATCGCATCAACCTCCATTTTTTCAGCAGAGCCCTCGTGATTTTTTGAACACTCTTCCTCGTGATTTATATACCATTCTTCGTATTCTGGAGTATTCACTTTCTTTTCCCAAAATGTGCATGCATGGCAATAGCTACTTTTGATAACTAAATCGATGACTTTGCCCGAATAGTAGCCTATGAGCGTTACAACTCCGTACAGCGATTTGAATCCACGTTTTTTCCACGAGCCATCTCCAGAGACTTTCAAATCTAAAATGGGCCTTTTATGTTTTTCATTGAACTCTTTTTCTTCTTCGATAGCTCTCTTGCAGAGACTTTCAAAAACAGATTTTGTACAGGAATGAATATACGTAATGATATTATTATACGTGCTCTCATTCATTCCTTTACAAATGTCCATGAGGTTGCAGAATAAATTAATACCCTCTCTGCCAATGCCTAAGAGTCGCATAACAAACACCATCCGACGATTTACTTCATATCCAGTGTTGATTAGTGGTCCTGAATTGATGTTTCTCTGACCACAGCGACAAAGTAAAACTATCTTGAAACCGAGGCCTCGATTCCCAGCTTCTTCAAATTTCACATTCTGTTTACATTGACGACAAACAAGGAGTTCTGTCAAGGCTGTAAAAACGGTGAATATTTCGATCAAACGATAGCCATGCAATGGATTCCAGTGAATATCTTCAGCACTAACGTTGGAGAGTTTTCTTGCACTTGCACTTTCACATCCTTCTTCATTTTCGCTCTTTTTATTTGAAAACTGATTACCATGGAACTTTCTTTTGCGTGGTTTCGATGTTTGTTTTGGTACGGCGTGTGTGCCTTTCGGATAGGACATTTCGAATTTGCACTGTTGTTCTGTACAGGCCGAACTTTGAAGCTAAACTAAGAACGATGCGAGCCCCAACGGTTTCGACTAAACACACACAATAGAAATATACAAACGCCGTCTACCAGGGGTGCCTTTCAAAACCCCTATAGTTACATCTCTGTAGTTACCTTTTGGAACGCAGCCCTAAAAGGTAGTCTCCGCGCCGAGGGAGTGTGTATACCTGCTGCGCGCTATTAGAGCCTAAACGCTGCTCAAGAGATTTGTTGCGCTCGAAGGCTATAACTTCCGAACGACTGCAAATTTCGTTTTAAAACGTTGGGAACATATTCTTACAATGTTAAATTAACATTTTATGCAAAAAAATTCGATTTTTTGAAAGTTCTAAATGGATTTCCCCCCTTAATTGCAATGAGCTTACACAGATTGTTCATTTCTTATTTTCTCTTTGAGACACAAGTACATGACTATCTTATTTTAAGTGTACGAATATGTAGTAACAATTTAGCTAAAAAGAACAGGTCAGAAGTTAATCATGTCATACTCAGTGATGTACGTACCTGCGTTCGTGCGTTTTATGAAACCAATCCTCGATACAACGCACAGCGCGTTTGTACAGTCTGCATACTTTCTGCTGATGCGATATAAGTTCTGAGGGAATATGTGCCATCCCTCACGTTTAAAAAAATGGCAATTCTATTCAAAAGTACTCTCGTACTCTCGTAATAAACTAGAAAACGTACATAAAAAAATTACGAACTAATTAAGATATGAGATAAGGGACTCACTATCGTTTTGAGCGCTCTGAGTAGAGCAACCGACATCTTACAACAATGGTCGAAATTAAGGAGAGACTCTAGCAGACTCTAGTCGAAGCCGAATTTACATTTGGTCTGTTTTCTGTTCCTGCACTAGACTGTTCTAGAACTCTGTTTCTCGCTTTATGCCCATTTCCACCAATGTAGATTAACTTTTAATCTCGGTTCAACTTACTCTTCGTCTTTTTCTAACCTTTAGAACTAGAAAAAGACAAGGAGTTAGTTGAACCGAGATTAAAGTTAATTTGCGTTGGTGGAAACGGGCATTAAACAAATATCAAATTGTAGGGACACACTTCACACACTCCGCGACTAGATGGCGCCTAAGCCCGGATCCTCATACAGACAACAGCGCTTTGACACCGAACGCAGATTGGTGAAAACCTGGTTGTGGGGGTAAAATTTACCCCCATCGCCCTTTTTTTACCAATCAGCGTTCGGTGTCAAAGCGCTGTTGCTCGTATGAGGATTCGGACTAAAACTAAAAGTTTCCTATCTATATGAAAACCAACCGTTATCCTTCCCTTTGTGCACACTTGTACATACGAATAGATCTTTCTAGAATCTCGCGAAAATCGGTTATTTGAATCTAGTCAGCAAGCAAATCTTTGTATAGTGCAATATTAATAAAGTATATATTGTTCATTTTGTAAGGGCCTGCGCACAATAGAGGAACAAGAATTAGATATTAAGATTTCAACCTATCAGAAACCGCGTATTCCGATGTAATCAGTTTCTGATAGGTTGAAATCTTAATATCTAATTCCTGTTCCTCTATTGTGCTCTTAAGGCCCT